CCTGACAAAGATGCTTGTCCAAGTCCCCTTCACGGCCATGCATGGTCAGACCATGCAAGCCATGTCAACCTCTGAGGCAGCCTCCGGTGTGTTGGCCTCTGTTGCCAGGGTCGAGGCTGAGCCCGGGCCCCGTCAAAGGCTGCGTGGCGATGCGACAGAAGTCTGACGAGCTTATCGGCAAAATGTACAGCACAGGGTACGACAAGCGAAACGTGTGAAGTCACAAGTGGCACCCAAGCAGGCATCAGAGAAAAGACCAACACAGTTCTGCTCAATCGTCTGTCAGAAACTCAAGCCCACACCATGTCCCATCATCCTATTTCCAATCTTTTCCAATAGTTATGCAGCCAGCATCTGCCAGCCCTGCTACCTACCATTCGGGAGTGTGCAAGCCGCAGTCTTTTGCATTTGACAGATTGACCTAGATTAGCATCTGTTCAGGGGACCTTGGGCAGTAAATTCAACACTCCTAGAAAATCGATCCCTCGAATTCGTCGAAGCTCCCTCTAGCTGAGGGGCAACGAGTCTGCCAGCAATGAAGCACTGACCCCGGATCACCGAACGACAGGACTCTGCTGTCTTTTCACCACGAAGGCCGCATTCATGCCTAAAAATCCAGGCAGGACAGCAGCAAGAGGAAGCTGACGAGCCAGGCTTGGCAGGCACGTCCATCTGTCGCAGATCTTCCTCCAAAGCTCCGGCCGCCCCCTAGAGCGAACTCGGCAATGACGGGATCGTGCATGTTGACGGTTGCCCATTTCGGGGGTTGATGGCTGCTTTCCGTCCCGAAGGGGAAAATGGTGTTCATGTAGGCTTCCTTGGCCACAAAGCCTCCAGCGATGATGCGATCGAACGGGTGCAGGTATATCGGATAGCAGCAGGTCTTCTGCTGCTTGCTGCCCACGACGCCTCTTACATCTGGATAGATATCAGCCATGATCTCGGCGGCCGACTTTGGCTGGTTCGTGTCTGCGATCAGAACCACCTACTCAAGCAAATCAGGCAAAGAAGCATTTGTCGGCTTTCCTCGGCTTCTTAAACTACTGAGCACGAGATGGTCTTCAAGTGGAACGCCTTCAGCATTCCAGTTTCCACAGACTGGAAAGAGCAAGCGGAGTCTTCCAAGGGCGTTCATCTAGGACACGTCCAAAAGCACTGAATGCCTGGCGCCTGACGTACCCCACCCCAATTACCGCGCTGAAGAACCGGCCAACCTCAGCGCCCCACAATCCCCGTTTACTTTGTTCGGTGAAGCATCCGGCTCGCCCGTTCCACATCCAAATCAGCTCCACCTACGCCCACCTTCTCACGCTCGCGCTAACCCGCTCCGAGAGCCCGTACAATGGTGCTGCTGTGGGATGGGAGAGTTGGGTAGAGTAGCTGCCTTTTAAAAGTTTTCGGTCAGCGCGTGATTAACCAATCCCAGCTGGTGGCTTAAAATCTGTCGTAAAGCTAGTCCCACCCAGCACGGCATAGACAGCAGAAACCTCCACCCACCCCCACCCCCCCCGCACGTGCCTGATCTATGCCAGACGCTGCACGAAAAGAAGTCAAAGCAGCCGACAGCCCACGGATCTCTTCAAGATATTTCTTTTGGTGTGGGAAGTGCGCGACAACGACCACAACCTCGAATCGGGTGTGCAAATGAACGAAGGCCTGGCCAAGGAAGGCTCGGTAATTCGCTTCGCCTTCGACCTCCCCAGCAGTGACCCTCTCCATGCACCCACGGAAGGGCTGCAGAGTTGTACCATTCACCTCTTTCACCTTCCATCTCGACTTGCGGTACAGAAGCATCGCGCTGTCAAAAGGCATGGCTCCAAAGCCGTTCTCACCTCCACAAGTATGATGGAGACCTCCCCATGCTTCGTCAACGCCGTTGTTTGTGAGCTCTTCGTCTGCTAGCTGCTCAACGCCGGCAAAATCAAGCGCACCATCACCTTCACCGAGCATGCCTTTCAGCTGTTCGGTTGCATTCTGCTTGCATTGCGGATAGGCCTTGTCGCAGTGGCCCTGAATTTTCGTGTCTTGGCAAGAAAGGAAACACTCGCTGTGTATGTTCCATTGCAGAAAGCTCAGCACATTCAAAGGAAGGTCCCTGCTGTTCAGAAAAGACGCAGATCGAGATGCCTTCGCGACGCCATTGAAAGACGAAGGGACCAAGGGTTGAAGTTCTGGGCTTCATTAACCCGAAAGAACCGGTGTGCCGATAATGCCTCCAAGCTTCTGACAGGATCTGGGCAGCACGAGCAGTGCTCCACTCAGTCAGCCAAATGAACAGGCTGACCGAGAAGTGTGGAGGCAGCATGGAGTATAGCAAGTACGTTATCGAATGCCATGGGGTTTGGCACTTGAGCATACGTTGCACGGCACTCTGCAAGCTTCAGATCATAGCCTTCGAAACTTACAAGGAAGACCACTCTACACTGAGATCCAAAGACCCTATCCGCCGCAAGCCTTCGCAACTGTTTATCGGCCTGCACAGACAAACCTGCAACAGACCTTCATGGCGGAAAGGACCTTACATTCGTGGGTATGCAAGACGAGGAGGCTGCAATTCAACAATGCAGGCCCCTGAAATTCCACCTGCCGTCTTCACACCAGAAACTCAGTGCAGGACAATGTAAGACGTAATAGAAATTGCTTGAGCTTTTCTCCGTGACAAGAGCTATGTTGTTCTGTGGCGCGGCTCTGCCGGTCCCCATGCAAGCTGCTTCGTTATTTTATTAATCCAGATGCATGGCGCTCCTACTCAATGGATTTCTGCGACACGGCAATAATTGTGCTAATTGTGCATCAACCTTAAACTGGAGTGCCTTCAAGCATTTGGTCTGGCATTCCTCACGTAGTGGAATGCACGAAAACCTTGCGCTGCCATTTGCCTCTGCGATTTGCCTCGCTTTGAAACCAAAAAGATGAATGAAACTGATATCGACATAGGCCAGAATAATGACGACAGAGCCTACGGAATTGGCCAGGTTGAGTCAATGTTCGACACTTTGGCAACGATCAGGCTAATCTGATGGCGGCATCTAAATAAACTGTCGAATTCGGCATCTCACTTTACAGCCGTTCAAAGCCTGTGGATGACGGGGAGAAGCAATATGTGTGCAGCATGGCACAACACATGATAGCACCTAGGCAGAACGGCAGCAACGCGACGCCCACTGCAAACGGTTCCACTTTCCTGGCCAAAGAAAGAATACATGAGGCGATACTTCTCATTTCCTGTGCATCCCACCTCGAAGACTTTGACTCGATACAGGCAGATGTAGCTCTCTCCCCACTCGGGCCCTGCAAACACCGGCACTTATTATTTCAGTATGTGAAGAACGGCACTTGTGAAGGGACAAGCGACACTGGAAGCCACAAGTCCAATCCTGAGAAGACCAGGCGGAGACCTTCGACCATCGTCGATGGCAGCTCAAAGGCCTGGCACCAGCCGGACATCCAGACACGTACATTTCTTGAAGCCCTCGCCTGTGCGGCAGGCCCTGCAGCAGCGTACTCGAAGCTACCCAGAAACTCTGTGTACCTGGACACGGGCATTTCGGCGAGCGATGTGGTCCGTTATCCCTGCAAGCGTGGCCGGAGCACGGACTCTCCCCTACCTTCACAGCACTTCCAATGGCGACTGCTTCACCGAAACTCGATGCGCACTCTGAGCCTTCGCGGCCGTCGCTCGACCGGTATTTGGCGGCAGCCCGAAAACGGCGAAGCGCCGCGGCGCTGAACGTGGCCGCAGCGCCGCCCAGCGAGCGGGCTGTCGCGTGGTACAGTGGTAAGCCGAGAACTTAACAACATGTGAAGAAAACTTACCTGCTCGATGACCAGCTGGCGAGCTGAAACTCCCAAGCCGTCACCCGGGGCCAACCGCAGTGCCAGGCTGCTGTTGGCTCCACGGAAAGCAAAGCCTCAACGCTTCACCACGAAGCGACAAAACACGAAACGACACAGCACAGCCACATTTGCAAGTCTCTGGCAGTCTCTTGACTGTGTGATGCTCGCACTAGTCAGCACAACCTTGGAGAGGTCAGACATCTTCTGCAGACTGGTGATTAGTCGACTAGTTTTCGGCACCGAATCAGCAAAGGCCATCTAAGGCCCCCGGCAGAGGGGCCTTCGGAGCGGTACACGTCTGCCCGGGCCTTCCACCAGCAAGTTTCGACTCTCCCTCAGTTTTCGGCCCGGCCTTGAACAAGGGGATTCCAGTCATTTCGCCCAGGCTGAGCAAGGCCTCAAAGCACACGCCCGCACTCGGAAACCCGGGCCCGAGCCCCGGCCTGGTGCGTTGCTCCGCTACTGCGAGCTCTCGGAGATGTGAAGGAGAAATCGATCTGCAACAGGCTTGTAGAGCCATCTCTGTCATCGCATGCACTCTGAATTCGCCTCCGTTTCGACGGGCTTCGGGGCTTCGGCACAGACTGTCTTCGCCTGCTTGCACGACAGCTGCTCCACACCGGTGCAGCCGCTTCTCATGTGCCTGACACCGGCGCTCCAAGATGTGTCGCAGCCGCCGCTTGAAGTCGGCTGGCCAGCCCCCACCCGTCACTGCCAGCTGCAGAACTGCCTCCAAGACTTTGAGATGGGAGGCGAGAGCCACAGAACAAGGGGACACCTTCCGGAAGTCCTCTTCGGCTTGACTGTCAGCAGCCTGCGTGCAGCAATCACAGTCGATACAATGCAAGATCTGCACCCGCTGCGAAACTGTCTCCATTGCCGGGTTGGATTCATGAGCCCGAGTCCACGCTGCCAGAGAACGGTGTTGCTCTGTTGTTTAGATGGTTTTTGCCTGCAGGAATCTGTGACAGAATCCTACAGGACGGAGCAAGACTGTCCGTCGGCATGGACTCGCCACCTAGAGCTCGTTCTTTGTACAAAGCTACCCCGGTCTGTGCTGCACAGGCCCTCTCCGCAGCTGTCGCTGCATTTGCGGGCCGTCAACTCGACATGCTTCGCGTGTCGGCGGCATTGCAGTCATCAGTAGTGTCCTCACTGCATTGCGATCGAGATCTTGTGGCCGAGCTCCAGCAAAACTGGCAGCAGCCTCAATTTGCAAGCCAACAACGCAGACATGACTTGCATGCACTCGTCTCACACATGTCACAAGTCTCCCGCGGCGCTAATGACTACAAAGCTGTCTCCACAAATAGACAACACAGCTCGTTGACAAGCCCTTGTAGCAGGCCACAAGAAAAATCGACTCAACTCCATTCTACTCCATGCCACAAGCCAAGCCCTTCAACATTTCAGTTCGATTCGCTCTCCCACTTCCCACAAGTTGGGCCTGGCGTGCACCATGTCCCGGAGCAGATTGTACTACTAAAGGCACAAGCAGGGATCAACATGACGGCCAAGGGTTTGGCGCGCTCACTGACTCGTCGATGAGATTCAGAAAATGCCTCAGCATGCAGTCTGACTGGCAAGGAAATTCTGATACCGAGACCCGCAGAGCTTGTGGCTCCTCTGCCTGTTCATCATCCATCACAGCCTTCGACTCCCGACAGCTTTTGTCTCAGCTCTTGCATGCCGGTCGGTGCTGACTTTACTTGGTGCCTGGAACTTCTGCTCCACCTTGAGGATGGCGAACTGCGGATCACTACAGATGTCCTGGGGCTATACAGAGCATCGAGACCGTGCCGCAGGGCACACGGCTCGCCGTCCAAGGCCTTGATGCCAGAATCCGTCATCAGGTACAGCAGGTTGATGATCAGCTTGGAGTGCCGACGTAAGATCTTAAAGGCCTGACCTTGGCTGTTAAGAGGGCAGGAACACTGTTCTTTCACAGTTGGATTATCCGGCCTACTGCTCTCTTCTGAAGGGTGGCTAGCCACTTTTGCCGCGAGAATTGGTCGGTAAAGATCTCTCTAGCTTCAATTTGCACCCTCAGTTTGTTGACTTTGCGCTTGCACAAATATCTCAAGCTTCGCCTTTTGCTGATCATGCAGCAGCTGTGACGCAAAGCGTGATATGTCGCAACCCTCCGTATGTGTGACATCAAATTCTACGCTCACCATTTCACTGGTACCTTCCCTACACTGCCAATTCCGGCATGACACAATGATCGCTAACTAACACTTGCTGATATTGTCCTTCACTTGTCGTCGGCTTCTGAATATTTCCATTCTACCAACAACGCTTTAGGTATATACTCACGGGCATTGGTCAAATAACTCATGAATATCAAACAGAGAGCGATATTTCGCTTCCAGATTTCATGAATAGCAATGTTGGATTCCATGCAAAACTGATGATTATCAAGCATCTCTTATAACGGTACTTCGACGGTAATTCGATAATCGTTGAAAAATGACAAACATGCGCGGGGCTTAACAGCGATTGATCTTAGCTTTAACTTGTGGTCAGCTATCTTCT